CCTTTCTACTGTAAACCATGGCAACCTTTTCATCTGTGTTTCTGCATGAAAGTTTTTCCATGCCCTCAATTTTTCCTGTAACCATTTTCTGCAAACTTTCTAAAGCCACAACATCCCCCTGAGACAGTGCTGCAAGTTTTATTGACAGAACTTTGGATTTGCTTGGAACATCCCTATTTAACTGTATTTTAATTAATAATGATCTCATTCTTGTGCTCCAAAATATTGTTATTTTTTCCCCTTGATCTGCACTGATGCCCTGGTATTCTTGCTGAACTGATATTTTCAGTTGTGACTCTGTGGTGACAGAGTCGTTTACATTTCCTCTTAGATGTGCACTATTGTGCTGTATAACAGCAATTAATTTCAATTAATGTTCTGATGCTCACTCACCAAATTTCATTGCACGTCTCTGACATTCACCTGAGTCTTACCTGGTCATAACTAATGTAAAGAGCATTGAGATGACTGAGAATGCCATCGCCTCCTCATCTGCACCTTCTTCACAAGTTGTCTGCAGTGCACATCTGGACCAGTGCCTGAACCTCAACTCATCCCCACCGTGAGCTTTTGCATGCTGAAAGTTGGCAATGCCATTCTCCTTCTTGTTCCCTAGTCAATTAACTTAAGATGATGCCTGCCTGTTATGACTATTGGAGTACTCGCTGATATGATGTTTTTGGGAAGCAACTGTTTGTCCCTTGTGCTGGGGCTGTCCTCGTGGAGGTAGAGTTATTGCAAAACAAGGGTTTTGGGGGAAAAAAAGAACACAAAGCTAAAAGAAACCAGGCTTCACTAATTCTACTGCTTGTAAAATATTTCCTTATTTTAAATACTAATTTTTAGGGGAATTTGTGTCTCTGTGTGAAGAAACAAGGCTTGATTTGTTCCTTACAATGATAACTCTTTTCACTTTTGGGTATTTAGTCCTAATTTGTAGTGGCATCAGGAAAATCAGACAAGCCACAGGACTACAGGCAGAGCCAGACTGATGCAGATAGGACTCCAATTTCCCTCATCCACTGCTACATACACAATGTCATGATCCTCTTCTGATTTAAACTCAACCTCACTCCTGTTATCGAAATCTGTATCTCCTATCTGAGTTGTTTTGTGTATCCACAGGGACTAGGACAAGCCAGAATATACTCATTAGTCTTATTCATAATATAACTCCGTAGATAGCTGAAGAACAGACAGGCTCACAGTATTACACTATTTAGCTAGGTAGGTCTTATTGTTTGCTGCAGCTCTGTTGTCTGAGACAGCATTCAGGCAATAAAACACTAGACAGTGGTCTCAGAGGTGAAAAGATTTACACTTCTGTGATGAAATTCTCTTTTATGCTTGCCAAATGTAAAGATCCATAAAAAGCAAAAACAAAAGAGAAAAAACACCCTTTCTGCAGGAGGGTGAATCAGCCCATCTGATCTGTAAGTGTTTGACCCAGAACAGCTCTCTGGGATGGTTGCACAGTCATTAGCAATGGAGCCTGTAATGCAGACAGGAGCCAAGTCAGCTAACAAGCCAGATGTCACCATTTGGAAAAAATACATATATATTCCATGGTTTTTATCTAGCTGCCAGGTAGGCACTGTGTGCAAATGCTCTCACTGAACAAACAGTGAACAGTGTCATAAGGGACAGGACATCAAAATGGGAGGCAGTAACTCATCAGTAACCAAAATGCATCCAGGTATCGAACTGTCAGTCAGAAGGATGGAAATATTGCTGGCAAAACTGTGCCTTTAGCGCATTGGGCCATGCAAAAGATAGGGATGGAAAGACTCCAGAGGGTTTCTGAAGTGCAGGGCAAAAAATGGTCTGGATGAAATGAATTTTGATGCTTACAGCTCTCTTAGTGCTATGGGACATTTTCCTAATGTCTGTGAAAAAAAAAGTGTAGTCAATTCTATAAAGAATAAAGAGACAATAGGACAAACAAAGTTAAGATTATGACAGCAATTAATATATATGATAAACATCAAGTGCTCCTTTATGATCATTGACTTCAGGGAGTAAGTTTTAGTTTTAAATGCTCTTAGTGTGACACCTGAGTTTGGCGGGTCCCTGTTGGGCTGCTTCCCTGAGTAGCACCACGGGCCTCAGGCTGGAAAATCAACCCCTTTGGAGCACAACGAACCGGGAGCACTGCACCGCCATGGACCCTGCTCCTCTGGGAAAAGAACAGTGAAGGGGGAAAGGGTCTTTGTACTTCTTGCAAAAAAGAACAAAAAGTTTTTATGCTCCTTACATAAAATTTACACTTTACATTCAAAAAGCTGTAACTGAAGCAAGACGATAGAGAATACGAATAGGTAGATCTGCAGGAATTCAGAATGAAGATAAAACTTTAATGTCTTGCAATATTTTTCATTTTTTTGCTATTCCATGCCTGATTTAATGAAACAAGATCTTAAAAGGTCTGGGAAAACACTATTAACCTGAAAAATAAGAAGCTTAAAAACCTACTGGGAGAGTTTCAGCCTTCCTATTCACAACCCTCAATCCACATATCTAACGGTATGTCTTTCAAGGCATATTTGCCTGCTGCTTACTCAGTCACCAAACCCCTCCAATGAAAAATCTCATGCACAAATAAAAGATAAATATGGAAGGACTAAGATGACCCCTAATAAGATAACCAAATTCTATGCAAGGCAGTATTGAATGCAAAAAGTAATACCAAAATGGGAAAAAGTGCTTCCCTTTAATCTCCTCTTTCAAGTGACATTAATTTTAGCTCCAACAAAAGAAAAAAAAATTATAGGCTGAGGAATTATTTTCTTTTTAGGTTATGGGTCTTTCAGTTAACCCCTCATAATCTCACAAACTTAGTCTGCATTTGCTTCTAGTAAAAAAAGACCCAGCGTTACAGATGGTCTCAAACATTAAAGTTGGATGCACCTGTTGTAAGCAAGGTGTATGAAGGTGAATGTCTAAGTTTCACATGGCCCACCCACACTGCCTTATAATTAACGAAAAAAAGACATGCTTCCAGAAGCCAAAGCACTGGTCTTTACTAGACGCTATTTTAAGATGAGTTTCATTGCCCTTTTGAAGCAGCCATTCTCTCCTCTGAACATAGAAGCAGCCTAGTGTAATTGCTGCAGTCTAAGGAGGCCATGTTCTGGTCAAGCAGCATGAGATGGATGCTACCTTTGAGCACACACGTGACTGAAGAAACCAAAAAATCAGTGTTAGTCCCATTTGTGTCTGAGACGACCAGTGTGTTTGTTCTGTCTAGCAAACAGACCAGGGATGTGGCTTCATGCTTGCATTGTTCAAGGAAGTTAAACTTCTCACTGTGATGCTTATTAAAAAAAAAAAAGTTGATTTATTTTGACAAAATGATCAGTTGCAGCAGGAGAGCAGCTCACATGTGTGAGCTCAGAATAGGGATCTTAGTTGCTCTTCCTGGTGTTCCTATGGCCATTTACGTTCTTGGGGCAACATTAAGATGCCAGATGACCATGTTCTCATGCAAAACAGAAGTAGCAATAGATTTAAAAAGTCAAGAAAAAGCATTGTACAGTATTTTAAAACTTTGCCTGGCTTTTAAAATGACTCAAACTCTATAAAAATGGAAAGCTATAAATATTAATATCTGGCATTAAAAGTGGTTTCAAAGTAATCTTAAAGCTAAAGAAAATCCTTTTCTTTTATAAAAAGATTTCTCCAGGAAAGGAGGAATAACTCAAAAATATTGTTTGAATAGACTTCTTAATGATGTGGTTACTTCCAATATTATGCCTCACAGGAGATTTAAAAAGGCAGTGGAATAGTAAAGAAGTGCTCAGATCTTCCTAGAATTCCAGTGCAAACATGTACTTGTCCAAAGCGTATTTGTCAAACAATTAATTAATTTAATCATTAAGTAATTTACATAATTATATAACTAATTCACATATTTGTCATAGGAAAATTTGTCAGACCTGCAAGGAACAGAGAAAAGTCAGCTGGCGCTCTGCTGCTTAGTGCTGGAGAGCAGCTAAGGATGTCCCCAGACTCACAGCACCCATCCTACCCTAGGGACCACCACTTGCCTGAGCTGGAGAGCAGTAGCAGTTACTGATGACCAATCTTTGCTGAGTGGTCCCACAAATTAAATAATGCAGCAAATAATGGCATTACTTACTCTTGGAGCAGTATTTGTCAGCATAAACATATTTTATTAAGCTAACTGATATAATTGTAGGGTGGGCAAGGTTTCAGGTGCACAATCCCTCATGAGACTGGACAAAGCAGCAGCAAACTCCAGGCTAAATAATGGTTGGAATTAACAGCCCTTTGTTTATCCTAATTACATTAATCAATTAGACAATTTGAGAGAAAAAGGATAATTGCTACCAGCGGAGCAGAATTCACTGGTAGCAGAGAGAGAGGTGAAGGCTTGTTAACCTCTTGGGTCTACAGAAAAAATTCACATTCCATTTTTTTACACTTCTGACAAGTGGGCTAATCTACAACATCTGGCGAGCAAACAACAGCTCATTGCTATGCCAACACCATGCCTGCAATTCAACGCAGTTGGGAGAAAGGGAGATTTTCTGTCAAGCGAGGCAGAGTCTTAGGCTTTGTGCAGTCTCAAGATCACATCTTTTGCCTGTTCACCTAGAATACAATGCAAACCATCTTTTCAGAAGGATAAAGAGTTAATTTCTTTTTATGCTGCTATCCTACTGTTTCTAACCTAAGTATTCTCTCTCAAGAAAAGGAAATAATACACCAGAATAATAAAAAAAGTAATTTCTCTACCTTTAAGATCTCTTGTACAGGTTGCAATTACCAGAAAAACATTTCCCACTTTCTCACATCTACACTTGTAATAGCAGATAGGAGACAATATGAATACACAGACAACTATGAGAAGCAGCATTGAGGATTGACCTGGTATTTGTGGTGTCCAGGGGAACAGTCCTTGCCTCCCTCTTGCCAGGTCCACTGAAGTACAGAGATTTTCCGTCGCTGAGCACACCACAGCCTGTTCCAACCTGACCTCCTGTTATCTTGTACCAGAGAGGGCTTAGCTTCCTCTCAAACCTGTCGAACATCTCACTGTGATTAGGCACATTAGACACACAGGTTCCATGCGATGCTTCAAGAAAAAAAGAAAATGGGAGATGCTTTGGTGAAACTGTGCTGAACAGAGTAAAAGTCAGATACAGTACATGGGCAGAAGGTTCTGCTGTAACCACATATCAGAAAGTACCACGCTTTTCTAGGAAAATGCCCTGATGACAGGATCATACCATTTTAAAACCAGCTTTACCAATTTTTCTATGCAGAATAAGCCCTTCTCCTCTAAAGTCTAGGGTGGCTTATTTCACTAGGTGAAAAACAGCTGTGTTTTAGGTTGATAAGGCATTTTATGTAAACAGAAAAATATTATCCTTTATTTCATTCTAAACAAATTGAACAAAAGATGTAAGCTTGCTGCTTTGTTGGTATAGAGGGTTGAAAAGAGTGCGGCATGTAATTGGTTGTGTCAATCACTGTTTCTTTTCATTAGGTTTGGGTTAGGTTTTTTTGTTGTTGTTGTTTTTGTATTTCAGCATAAAAGCCCATGAAACCACAAGTGAGCAGAATTTTCCACAGAAGGGTCTGTCAGAACATATGTTCCCTCCTGGTCCCATGCCATCTGATGGCCAGGGGACTCAAAACCAGCAGTAATTCTTTTGAAGATGATCCAAAGGCTTTTAAACAGACTTCTTAGTTTATAATATTTTATTTTGTTTTCTCTTTTATTGCTCATTCCATTTGATTCATACAGATGGTGATGTTCAAAAACCGTGGTTGCCAGAAACATCACCGGTGTCCACTGCCCTCAGCTGCTCTGTTTCACCTGTGCTGAATTTTATTTAACAAAATGAAAAGATTCTTACTGGCAACCCATAAAATTTATGTCAGCATATATTTCTCCAGAATATTGGAGATGAAAAACAAGATGCTAGATTTACAGCTTTAACTCACTCAATGCTCACTGTAATCCCACCTCAAAAGGGTTGTCTCACCTGTGTAGCCCAGGTCACAGAAGCAGACCCCTGAGACACAGTCCCCATGACCGTTGCAGTAGTTGGGGCAAGGCTCAGAGATGTAAACACCGTCTAAGCCGAAAGGAGGCACGCTCTTGTGGGAGCTGCTCTCCTGAATCCAGCGGAATCGAGTCTTACTGTAGAGAAACAACAACGAAGGGCATGGTATTACTATTCCCAGCTTCAGTATCTACTGCTACTTGTTTAAGATTAAAAGGAGCATTTCCTAAATTAGCCATTTGCAAATAACATGCAAATAGATGCCTGGAAAACATTTCTGACATCCTACATTTTGTGCAATTTCACTTATGGGTATTTTTTCCAGATTTTTTTGGATGTAATTTGACTCCCTCTATTTCTCTGGCCCATATCGCCAGCGTGATGCAAATAACAGGTACATGGTTTTATCAACAAGAGGCAATAGTTAGACATGACTCTGAAGATGTTTTTCACTACTCAGTTCAACCTGAATTGCTAATTACAAATTAAAATCCCAGAACTCCATTTCTTACAATACTTATGAAAGGAATGCAGTAATGGCAGTGATGCAGAGTTTACTGCAAGATTGTATAATCTCGAGTAAAAAAAATTCAAGTAATTTGGATACAAGAAAAATAATCTATTTTCTAATAATAATGTGTCTTTCAGGACAGGCAGACAGAAATACTAAGTTTTTATTCTTGCATGACAACATGAAATTCCTGGAAAACAGTGATCTAATCCTTAGCCTGTACACCTGAAACTGCTCCAGAGACTTCAGTGAGCCTACACTAAGTTACTCCAGCTGATCACTGCATAGGAAATTTGTCGAAGAAAAAATGTTTTGGTTATTATTTTTCAGTCCTTAACTTCTAGATGAATCATTTTAGAGCAGCCCCAGAGAGTGGAACAGATTTAAAATCTCATTGTCAATCCAATGTTATGTCAATCCAATGTTAAGATGTCCTTGCTACTCTGCCTAAAATACAATACTACTAGTGCTTTTTTCCTGCTATGCACTGGGATTTGGTAGGTAGGTGATCATTGTGGTTGTGGTCTGTACCAAATGATGAAACGGGATGCTCTCCGAATAACCCATGAACCATAATTTCCAAAGTGACCCACAACAGATTCAGTTTTCAACACACCAAGACCCTCATTGTACTCACAATACTTACATTTTTAGTGCATTAGCATGAGCTTCTTATTCCTGATCACATTACTGAACATAATGCCAAACAGATTGCTGCTATTGATTCTGCACTGCTTGTTTTGGGTAAATTAAATCAGCTGGTGTCAGATTTGTGCAATTTGGCACCTGCTTTTATTGGCTAATTACTGAAGAAAAGACAAACTTGTTACAGTACATGCTGCTATTTCAAGTCCTTGCAGCAAAGGCACCGGCTCCTTGCTACACAGTATGCCACGTGCTCAAAATCTGCGCTGGGGCTTGAGGATGAGGAGTCCGTGGCAGGAGGATCGGGCTGAAACCCAGGGGCAGTAGGAGGAGGGGAGAAGCAGGAGGTGGTGGGGACACAGACTAGGGTCAGGGGGCAGCTGCTGGCTGTGCTGGCAGCACTTGGTGGAGGTAGCAGATCAGACCAGGGCCATGTATGGATGCTGTAAGACAGCGAGCAAGGGAAGCAAGAAATGATGAGCACAACTATAATTGCCTCCCTCCTTTGAATTCGGCTGTCCCAGTCGCCTTCAATGACACAGCACATTGTGCAGGAACTAAAATACCCTTCTATGTCTTCTTTGCCCAGTGGTAACTGTAAAATTAATCCTGTGCAGATGGCTTATTTGACTTACTACTCTCTCGCTGGTGTGTAAAGATATCTTGCTGATACGCATAAAGACAGACAACACCACAATGACGAGACTGATGTAAAATTAAAATAGTCTGGGTTCCTTGTTACTTCATAATTTAATTTTATAGACCATTCTGACATGTTTGAAATGGAAAGCTTCTCACTTTTAGGAGACCACAGTATATTTTTCCCAGATCTGCTGATTTTTAACACTGCTTTTATTCACAGCTTGCAACTTTTTCCTAAAGTAGCATCAAAGAAGAAGCAGTTTATTCACAGGTACCACCGGCACCAATGGTTTACAACGTACAGTACCTGGCTGCAAGTGACCTGGGGATAATAATAGTAATTCTTGTCCAGTCCTCAAAGTCTCCCGTGTGATACACGGTCGGCTCAATCAGCTCCCGGGAGCTTCCCTCGCATCCTTTTGTGCCTGGAGATGCAGGGTAGCATCCCTCCTTCACGAGCGACCAGAAGAGCCCAGCGTCATGAGAGTACTGAAGCAGAACAGGAGCAGAGCTGCTATACTGGTTGGTGCAACCAATGTTCAGCTGCAAAAAAGCAGAACAACAACTATGAATGCTGTTATTGGTATTTATTGGCTGCAAGCCACCTTTGACTTTTTGGTTTGGGAGGCTTAGCTCTCTGAAATCTTTCTTTGAACCCTGCTGGCAAACAGTGACTGGTGCATGGAGTCTGTTTCCTATATGTATATGACATTTCTCAGTAAAAATTCCCATTGTCCTTTCATTTACGTTGTTGGGTTCAACACATCAAAATGTGCAAAGAGCTTTTCAAAGGGCCTGGTGCATAGAGGGCCACAAAGAGCAAACCATGCCTGGGCAGCTAGGTGGGGAAGAGCTGTATCCTCTGAGACCCATCCCACTCACAGTCCACCCAATGTGCCCTGAGGACCAGCCTGACTCCCAGATCCCCCCTGCCCTGGGCTGCGAGCCCTGACCACAGCATGGGCATTGACCTCCCAGGAACAATGTCTGGGAGTCAGCACTGCAGTTTTGGTGCCCAGAATAGAGCAAAATTGGATGAAGTAGAAAAATGTGTATCAAAAAGTGAAGTGAGAATGTAACCAAGACAAAAATCAACTGGTGATTTGAAGTTTTCTGTTTCCTTTTTCAAGCTATCAGAAAAATATTAGTTTTCATTATTTTTTGCAGAAATGCCACTTGATCTGTGGAATGTAAAATGTAAAACAAATTCATTCATGCAAAATGAAATAATTCCGACAAATTACTGTCTTTGAGTTTATCAATGCAAAATTATTCCAGGCAGCTATTTAAAATGGAAATTTCACAAACTCAGGAAAGCATTTAACCATATGTTTAAAATTAAAACATGCAAATAGGACTAACACACTTATGGGCAGGCCAGTTTAAAAGCTTTCCAAAAAAGAGAAAAGTATAAATTCAGGCCTTAAATAACAGACTTTATAAAGAAGAACTCCCTGTTCTCTGATAGATGTTGTTTATGTTTTGTGTATTTATGTTATATTGACAAGGGTCTCAGAGATGGAAGGAGTATGAAATATTTTTAAGTATTGCTTTTTTAGACTAAACAAATTTTTGAATTGCTGTTGATCATCAAATCTACAGAATGGAGACTTAGTCGCTGAAGTAGAGGAAAGTGGTAAAGAGGCAAATAGCATCTTTTCCAGGCTAAATAGTATTTATATATTGAAATATTTTAGGGTTTTAGGCAGTTTAAAGTATAAAACTGCAAGCAATACTCACTCAGAAATTGTACTGCAATCTCTCAGTTTGTATAGCATTTAATTAGCATAACTTTTAGATGAAACGAGATTATTGTACAAAACCCATTATTTCTAACTAATTTTCCTATTTATAGAACTGTGGGAATTATATTTGAAAAGCTGCCTGTAAACATCTGATCTCTTTAATAATTCCACTTGTAAATTATTCAGTGTCTGTATCCACCAATTATGTAAGGACCATGTATTTGTGGTGAGCTCATTAAAATTGCATTGCAACCAACCTCCAGAATTCACCAATGGGATTTCATTATAAACTCAATAAAATTTTGATTAGGGCTCAGAAACAAGAGCTTGTCAAAGCAAATACACTTTCTTTGGAGCCCATATACTGATGTATTGTCAGACCACTGAAATTTCTGTAAGCCCTTTAAAGAAGAGAATGCTAATTGGATCCCATATTCATTGACACAATAAAAGTAAATTATATGAAAAACCGACACTGGAGTACAGAGCAGCTTGTAAGTCCTTAAATAGTTTAAAATACAAAAAATGTACACAAACTACATTGGAGCTTTTGTAGTCATGGAGCCCCAGATGAGATAAATCCTTTCTCCCTTGACAGTAGAGTAGCATTTCCTAGTACTGACTCGAATATAATGACAGTCACTTCAACCCACTTCTGAAGTGTGCTGAAGATCAGCAAGCCCTAACATTTCTACAGAAGGGTAAAAAAGCTCTCCTGCACCAAGGTTTTAGCTATCCTTTTAGAAAGCAGCGTGATATTTTATGCTATATGAATTCATACTTGTGCTCGTCACATCTTTTTACACAGCGGTATAATTTATCACCTTGTTTTGAACTGCGGCCCCAGTGGTATCTTGCAAGTATTGACTAAAGGCAGTTTTATGGATATTCTGCAGGGATTTATGTTTAAGGAATACCTTGAACTGCAGGACATATCCAGGCTTCAGAGTTAAATCTCGAGTCACTGCAAACCGGTCTCCATCTGATTTACCAAAAAGCATGGCGGAGGGGGTGGCAGAGCAGAAACTTTCATTTTTGGCCATCCCTTCATTGGCCAACATTAACCATACGCTCAGCTGGTTCATAGGGTAATCAAATGCTGGCTTTTCATAAAAGTTCTGTGAGAAATGAGAAGAAAAGCAACAAAAAGTCCTATCACCTCACAGTGTGACTTCAGTATAATTTCCAAAATGACACATTTTCAAATGTTGCAATTTGCATTTTCTGTAATTTTCTAGAAACTGTAGTATCCAAAATTTCTGTCTTGACTTTTTGAGGAGATACATAATTACATCCCCTGTTGCAAAGATGAGGAGTCTCATGGTTTTGTAAGAGCCAGGTAAGCACCACACAGACAGAAACACAGCTGCAAACACTACAGCTATTTGAAAATTATATTCAAAGAAAACAGAGAGGATAGTTCCTGTGTTTTGGAGATTCTCACAGCCTGCTCTTACCTGTGGTAAAGTGGGATTAACAACAGGAATGATGTGCTTCTGCTTCTCTGACAAAATGATAATGTCATCGATGGCCCACTGATCATACCCTTCTCCTGAAAACACCGGCTGCCACCAGCGAAACCTGGTGCAAGGTGTCTTGGCTGCTGCTGGCAGCTCCAGATAGACAAACCTGAAGAACAGAAATTCAGAGGAACCTTAGGGACCACAGTTTGCAGAGAAATGGGAGAAATGCCACTGAGCAGGGAAAAGAGGCAGGAAAGCCAGTATCTATCTTACATGTGGAAGACCTCAGAAATCCTCTATGTGTCTGAATACCTATTTATATACTGCATATCAAGGAGCCTTCTTTGTCCTTCTTGTCTGTGGAGAACGTAAACCCTTTAAGACAATTGCTATTCTTTACTCTTGATTACTATAATGCCTAGCACAATAAGGAACTAGTTTGAACTCTTCTGCTTTGAATCAAACTGTTCAGCTGATCCATGTTCAGCAAGTCTTAACATTCTTCTGGTGCCAGCAAGTAATAGTGAAATATGTTGGTAAAAGTAATTTCCCATTCTCTTCTGCTGGTTGGTCCTATCTGTAGACAAAAGCATCCTTCTATTAAAATGCAATAGATTATGTAGCTGAGTTTTCTGCTGTGGATAAAAATATTTTAGCCCTCCTATATGGATCTTCATAAAAGAACTTGAGATCTTCTCAGAGAGTTTGCTTTACGTTCAACTTAGGAAACAACTTACAAAAATGATGTTCAAGAAAATACAAAGTTTCAGACCAAATCATACTTACCTTAAGAAGTACGATAATTAGTTACTTGTTCAGTCCTATTTCAGACACCTTAAATATATGCATTTATACATATATTCCTTTTGGACTCTTTATATCATGTTATTTTGCACCAAGGACCCAGCTTCACTTGCTGGTTAGGCAAAGAGAGGTGGAGGAATTGTTCAGGGCCTCAGGAAATTCTCTTTTCCACAGTATTCCTATATTTATGTGTTGGAAAATAAGATCTGGACCACATTTGAAGCAGCAGAAAAATAAATATGCATAGCTATATTCAGTAAAGAACATCATTCTTTGTTACTCAGAGGGGCAAATGTTTTGTCTAAAAATAATATATTGGATGGTTCAGTGTTAAAGGTTTCAGTATGTTACTTCTTTGTTGGCTGTGTCTTGTAATTTTGACAAAGTAGAGGCTAAACAAAGTTCAATGGTTTTATACTTCCAGGTGCCTATATAACTTTTAGAAAAGGACAGTTTGCTGAGTTACATACAGAAGTCCTTCTGAAAATGCTGTTCAGTGCAATGCAAAATGGCAAGATGGAAAGATAAAATTATTTACATATTGAAAGACATGAACTGCAGGTAATAGAAATCATGTTAATGCCTATGCAGACAAATGCAATTTAAATTTTCACTGACAAGCTATCTTACAGCAAGTTTGAAATGCTGAACATGATTTATTCTCCTCCTTAAATATTTCTTTAAAGGAGTTTTTGTTGTAGATGACATTAATATAAATTCATTAGATCTGAAACCAGGGTCAGAAGAAATGGCAGATTTCTACACCTCTTTTCAGCAAGTTCTGTATTTTCCTGCTAACGTTTTGCACGTATTAGCACTTCAGTCATGTTTCATATGGAAGGTGAGTGATTGGAAACTTTATATTTTACTTCAGTTTTTTTAAGGTCCACTTTCATTAGGTTTTTCCTTCCCATTGACAGGAATTTACCGTGGTGGCCTCGAAAAGTTACCATGTAATGATGGCTTTTAAGCCATTATAACTTGAAGTTGTTATTCATCTTTTCATAAACTGAGAAACAAGTTTTTCTTAAAAAGAACTGATGCAGTATGGATTCAATTTAGACCAAAATTATACCTGGGTTTGCTAAAGTCGGAGAAATACATTTCTGCTAGTAGCTGCCAGTTGATACCGCCGTTATTGCTGTACTGCAGCAGCACACCTTCTTCTCTGCTGTCTGGTTTATTGCACGAAGAACTGTCTCCTCCTATCTGGATGTAAAACTGGACAAAATCCACCCACGTTGTGTCCAAATCCCAGCTTACCAACTGTCTTTTTCCAGCCTAAAAGAAATAAAGAAATAAAAAATCAGAGGGGGATAATAGTATTCATATGTCAACTTCACTATGAATAATTTTTAGTTTTGGACATATTTAAAGTCCAACAGAGATGAATATTGCACGGAAAATTGCACAACACAGCGGACATTGAATTCTGTGTTAACATAACACTTCTTTTGTCTTTCAGACAATGCTCATGCTTGGCCATCCTTCATGTCTTAATCACCCTGGTGCGATCCCATAAGGGTTTTTATTATTAGATTTCAACACTTGATGCAACCTCACACCACAATTTCTACACAACTATTTAATATCTTTCCTTTAAGGTCCCAAGTACCTTCAGAAGACAAAGAGCAGATGCTGGGTATCCAGAAGCAACCAGAGCTAAATATATAAGTATTCAGCTTATTAAAGATAAGGCATAAAGCAGTAAAAGGACATTTCTGAAGTCTCAATTCCCCAGTGAAATCTTTCACTGTACAGGGCTGTTTTATACTCTGAAATTATAGCCACTGCTATAAAACCTGTTGCATGAAGCCCATCACCTACACAAGAACAAAGGAGGGAAATTTTCTCTTCATGCTTCACCTGAGTAGGATTTGTTTCTACACAAAACTAAGTTTCTTTTCATGTCAAGTGTTGTAAATCAGGAGTGTCTCAACTAAAACTTGTGGATTTGGTTTCAGCTTTAACTAAGCATAGTTGAGAGAAAAAATAGCCTCATAAAATTTAGTGAACAGCTTTTCCGAGGATGTTTTTGAGTTCTAGCAAGAAACAGGTCTTGGACATCAACACTGTGGTTCAACAAGGTCACTCTCTGCATGTTGGCAAAGGAAGATAGAGCATATTAAGCCAAAAAAAGCTTTAAGGTTTAAAAGCCTGTTACTGTAACTGGAATTATCTCATTCCCCTCTTCCTCTTGTGCCCTACTGCTTGAGCTTGCAGAGCAACAAGCCTGCAAGATGCTGGTACGTGTTATGAAGCTGCCTGCGCCAAGGCAGGACATGGGGCGAGAGCAGTGTCTCTGCAGAGGTGACCTGTGTGCCCCACACCTGGCACAGCCCTACCCTGGCACAGCATCGTGCCACCACAAGATGTTATAGGTATGGCAAAGCCAAATATGTGCAGCTGAAGGGGGGTGTAGGGATCATATTTCTGCATTCATTAAAAGTGGCTGCAACCTGGCACAGCTGCCCAAAATGGAGCAGAACTGGCAACATGCCTACTGTTTTTAATTCCCTGAAAAATCATGGATTCCTGTCCATCTCCAAGCACAAAAAGGTATCAAAAAAGAAAACCTGGGCTAAGTTATAAAATGATGCTTATGTTTTAAGAAAAATCTATGCTGTTCCCTGTCTCTCACTTGTACATCCATGATCCTCCTGACAAATTTCCAGACAAATTTGAGACGAGCAAGTGGCATGATCAAGCTGGACATAAGTAACAAGAATTATGAGCTGAGATTTAAAATATCATCTATGTTTTTTAATAAGATGATAGATGAATTTAAATCCTGTTCCACTCATCACCTCTTTTCTCTTTCTACCCAGTTCAGGGTAAACTCAACACTGGTAAATGTCCATTGCTTTCCTTCTCAGAGCATTCTGCTTTGCTGTGTTACAACCTGGGTCCATTGCTTATTTGTAGACTCCACCAAATACGTCACATCACACTGTCAGACTAATTTCTGGAAGATGAATGCTTGTGTTTTTTGAAACTTGGTTAGCTTACACCACCAATGACAACTAAAACTTGTGAAGAATCAGTTGACCCTCAAAAAACTCACTTAAGATACAGCCATATTGAATTATGCCTGTTGTTTTGGTGTATTTGTTGGTTTATCCCCAGCTGAGTAAAGCCCTCCTGGGGGGTACTGTGAGAGCCAGACGGGCTCAGTCTGGGGTGTAGCCTGAGCTTCCTGGTGCAGCCCCACATGGCTAATACTAGCCAAGGTGACACTGATAATCTCTTGGTAGTTTGTTTTCACAACTTTTGGAGACCCACAGGAATTTGAAGTTATCATAATCAAATCAAACTAGTAATGGATAATAAAGATGCAAACACCCTTGCTGTCCCATGGGCAGGTGTGTCCCAGCTGGCTGAGGGTACTCAACATACTGACCCATAGTGGATCAAGCTCTGGCTGTACAGCTGTTCCGGGTCGGTTTTCCATATCTGCATCCCACAGCAGGTCTGTCTGCCAAAGGGTTAACTACAGAACCAGGGTAATTGAGAAAGGGCAGGAGCAACATCAAATCTCAGAGGGATTGCAGGGGCTAATTGAAAGAGCTCTGTATTGCAAACACAACTACAACTGATTAAAATGAGTTGTAACCCAAAAGGTAGAGGGTCGGCAGAACAAAGCCAACATTAATTCTGGTAGCAGTAATTGATTATGGCAGTAAACACTAGACATTCAAATAAAAAGTGGCTATTTGAGCAAATGCAAAGAAATTAAGCCTGTAAATAGGAGCTCCCACAACAACACAGAACTGTTGGGCAACTATTAAAATATTTTTTTTATTATCTACTAGCATGGCCACAAGACGCCTTGAAAAAGATCTAAACAGAAATTAAATAAATGACCTTCTGTTGATGGCATGCAGACTGCTACTGCTCAAGAAATGAATGATAACCTAACCCTTAGAGATCAATAGAAAGAAGCCAACAATTTCTAAATGTGTTTTGCACTCCTCCTTAGCAGAAATCAGAAGAAAGATCATAGCAGGTTAATTCTAATTTAGCAAACTACTTTAAGAAACTTGGCGTAAGGAACTGAGACAGAAGGAAAAACATCTAACAGAGAAGACAATTATATATTAAAAAATCCAATTATCACAATTAGCTGGTTATATTCATTGGTCTATTATGAAATTTTCAGCACGGAGCTGTATTTCCAGGGGAGCTGGATGTGAGACGATGTAGGAGTGCTGAAAATTATTTGATGGGTTAGCTTTTTGTAATGAGGTAAACAACACACAATTACACAGCGTTGCATGTTGGGTTATTCTTCTGGGACTAATCGGGCTCTCATGACAGCAGTGGCAGTTTGATCAAACCTTTAAAAGAGAAGCCCATAGCTGCGTTTATACTCTTCCTTTCAATTAGGAACACAACAAAATCCAGTACTAGACCCGAGGAGAAACAATACAAATAAATCTATGATTACAACCCATAATCGTACATCTGGTCATAAAGATATCTTTTTTATTTTAGTTATAATTGCTATTAATTAGCAGAATTCCCTATATCTCTTTCCTGCTCTGTTATTTTTTGTATGCAAAGCATCCAAGTCATACAAAAGAGTATCCTCCTACAGACTAACCACTTTCTAAAACTCTGGAGGGGCTGTTTTTTCACAAGTTTCATCCTGTGACCTCAAATTAAACTGCTTGTCCCCTGAAAAGCTAACCTTTCTTCATCCCTTGCCCAGAACAGTACAGAACAAATGGGAGCTGGGGGTTGCTGAGAAAGAACCGAGTCTTAAAACAGAAAATGTGCAATAAAGACAGTGTGAATATACACGCTTTCCAGCACATCAGCAATCTACTTCCTTTCTTTACAGCTGGCATTTCTTGGATACATCATGCAGGTGTCCCTCCCTATCTCTTTTGATTGCTTTATTCTTTACCTGCAGAGCACAGCTGTGCTGTTTAATGCATGGCTCATACTGTGTGCTGCTTTCTGCCACCTACCTTTTCTTTGCCATATAACCCCATTGTGTTCCATTCAAACCCACATTATGTGCCTTTCTCAGTCTCCCATCCCTCATTAGTACCTTGTTGAAGTAGAGCGAGGAGCCAGATGAGATGACCCCACAGCCTTCTTCAGGTTTGACGATCTCTCCCCCAATAATTTCCTGCCACTCTGTCTTCAGGCTGTCTGGGTTCTCAAAATCAGACATGATGGTTGAAGGAAGGGGATTTTCAGGCTGACATTCGGTACCCCGAAATCCTGAGTCACACCTGGAAGGAAGCATAAAAGTAAAAAACTGTAAAGACTTTATTTGACACTTACAATTACTTCAGGCAGTGCACTGACCTTTTAAAATTAGATGTGAAATAATAAATCATTCTAGGAGTGGAATTTTGGATTCTAGAAATGAGCTGGAATAACTGGATAACTGAAAACAAGCTATATCTTATTTCTAAAGAAAACCTGCAGTGTCTAGAAAGTCTGAAGCTGGCAGGCTGTAGTCTGTGCCTTGGTACTGCATCTGGTCTGATAGCAGCTGCCAAGCAGCACTGAGCTGGTCTCTGGTGTCTGTCTGACCCAGCGAAACAGCTCCAGTACTGAGCTGCTCCTGGGGGTCCTTGTGCAAAGGGCTGGAGGGCCCTCAGGACATCTGCAGCAGGGCAGCACCTTGCCACTGAAAGCTTTTCCAGTGCGTGGATCTGTCAAGGGTATGGGTGCTTGGACAGAGAGATGTGGAGCAACTGGCTGTTAATGTAGCTTGAATGGTCTAAACCTCCACAGTGCTTTTAATTTTTAATCTCAAAATAACTTTAAAAAAAAAACAGAAAAAAGTATACAAAACAACAGGATACCTGAAGTATCAGGAGACCATTGTTAAGAGGAAGTGGCTTTATACCTGCAAACGCCATGGTCACACCAGCCATGCCCGCTGCACATGTTGGGGCACTGCTGTCCGATGTAGATGTTGTCTAAGGCCCATTCGTCTTGGGCTGTGTAGTAGCACTGACTCCAGCGGAAACGTGTGGCGCTGGACCTTAAAACCAATAACAATGCTTTAGTTTGTGATTCTTTACAGAACTGTAGGAATAAAGATAAAATCCAACTATAAAAAAATAAAGTAAGTTGATATCACAATCACAGCCCAGCCAGCAAAGATTGGCACAACCAAAGACAGATTTTTGTAAATGAACACTCTAGATAATGTCACCTGCTGCATAGGGCTATATAATGGACCTGCTGGTCACTAATTACACTTCTGAGGAAGACTGCAGAGGTGTTACAGGGACTTTGCGCATTATTTTAAGATAAACCTATCAGTGAATATTACTGGGTTTTTATTGTGTGCTATTCTGTAAGGGTGACAGGAAGCAAAACTAGAAGGATGGATATAGTGTGTGACTTTGATTTTTATACTTTTGGTCACAGTTAACAGGCTGTTGAGTAGAAAGCTTTCTTCTGATATTTATTATAAAAAATAATATGAAATTAAGGTTCTTGAGTGTAAGCATTTCTCCCCTTTGAATACTGGCTATTTCCATTCAGCAATATTTGACTGGTTTTTATTGGATACAGAATTTTTTTTTTTGTCAGGATGATTCTAAACTAGATTTTGCTTACTGGTGACATTACAATCACCAGTTTTTGACAAAGAGCCTGCTTCATAGTATCTGTTTTTCCCCACATTGCAAATAGCTTGCTGTTGGCCAACTACTCAGACAAAATCTGTAACACCAAAGGTTTGTCGTAGGGATTGTTGGATTAGATTACTTGCCTATATATAACTAAGCTCTGGATATCTGTAGTATTCTTCAAGCAGAAGACTTTGCTGTAGTTTCTCTTTTTTAGTTAAATAGCTTGTTTTCAGCAGTTTCATTTTTCTGTATTATAGTGGAGTCAGGCAACATTATCCATTAAGAAAACATGCTTGATATTGGCCCTCTGGGAGACTGTCCAATGTGATACCAATATTTCCGTGCTGAGTGACTCCTGCCAGCCAAACGCGGCCTTGTCATCCACCAGCCTCAAAAAACAAGGCTGGAGAAGTAACTGAATCCTGAAAAGAGTAATTTTTGTCACCACTATCTCCAAGCTGCCCTGCCAACCTGTGCACATCCAAGTGGTTACAGGTGTTGCCTAGTGGTGGGTGGAGGGACCCACCACTCCCTACTCGTGCCAGAATGAGATTAAGTAAAATATATTGCATGTGAAGTGAAACAAAGATTGGAAATTGCTCACTGTGATGGAGCAAAAGAGGCTGTGCTGGCTGTGTGATAGGTCTGGGGAAAAAGATGTAGTGGGGGCAACGTGGGTGCTGAGCTTGCAGAGCTGTGGAAGGCATGGACAGGGAAAGCATAGCTGATTGCAGAGAGTTAAAAAATAGACTTTAAATAGGGACAGGCCTGAGCCTGGCCAAGGGCTGACTGAGTGGGCTGAATGAGAAGCAGGAGGTTCCTAGAAGAAGTAGGAGCTTCTTTCCTAGCTTGTTTCTGAGCCATATGGATACATTATGATGGCACAGGATATAATGCTGTTACTCTAATTTAAGATTAAAAACCCCTCCCCCTCTGGAAAAATAAGTAGAGTAAGGCCTATTAAAATGAACATTGTAAAGGTGGCTGAGCCACCTCCTCGCATGTATGGAAGTAAAAAAACAGATAGAAGAGGCCTGTGCAGCTAAAATGGACAATATGCAGTTAGCCATCCAGCCACATACAAAGATGCGTTTAGTACATGCTTGGAGAAATTTTTAAAATACCAATTTTGAATTTCATTTTAAAAAGTGGAGCTGCCCGAGGGCTTGATTTTTAATTGAAATTACCCTTGCTGTCTGTTTTTAAGTATCTACTTGATATTGCAAATACTCTAAGCATTTTTACAGCATGCAGAGCTAATCTGTAGGGGCAGATCTGCCGATTAAATACTCCCTCAGGATATAATGTATTGAAGGGTTACATTACAAGGGCTATGAATTATCCATTAAAAGTGCACAGTGCCAGTAATCTGCACACAAAGGACTTCCTAAGCTTGCCTAGGCACAATGGACAGTCAATATTCACCACAATTATTTACTGTTTATTTTTAGAGTGCTCTGAAGCACACCACCTCGGTGGTTTGCTCACATTTTCTACAGAGCATTGATGGCACCACAGAAAGCTCTGACAGAGCCTGTGTGCTCCAGAAAGAGCGATAATGACTGCTGTTAACTCTCACATGTGCTGAGGAAAATAACAATGCTGAAACCAAAGAAAGGTTTTAGAGAGGCTACCTCCTCCCCTCCACCCCTCCCCCGACCTTCCAGCACAATAAAATTGTGTAATGTTGTGTGCCCAGGTGACAGGGGGGAGCATCACGGCCAGGTTCCTCTGGTTTTCATTAGTGAAGGTGTTTGGGTAGATGTAGGGTGTGCAACTCTGCAGCCCCAGAACTATTTACAGCAAACTGGGAGCGATTTACAGGGGCAATTTGGACATCCTGTGGAAGTCTGTTGGTGCCCAACAAGTGGTGGCGTCCCCTGAGCACAGTTCCCAGTGCTGCTTGCTGTGGCATCGATGCCATTTCCCCAGCCACTTGCCGGCTGCTGCTAGGTGCAGATATCCCTGCAGGGTGACTGTGTGGGTGCATCACAGCTGGTTTTGGGGTACCAGGCTCACACTTGCCCTACACAAACAGTGGGGAGAGCCCACCCATGGTTAATAACAAGGTAGACCTCTGTGCCCAGGGAAGCACTGCACCTGAAACCCCACTAAGATGACCCCCTTGCAACACCACAAGGTGCAGAGCTGACACCAGGGTCGACAGCCGGTGCTGGGACACATGTGGGTTTCACTTGAGCAAAATGTTTCCCTGGACAAGCTCATTGCCCCCTTCCTGCTGCAGGGAGCTGCCACCCTGCCAGGCACAGAGCACAGAGCCACTCGCTGCTGGAGCGGCTCCGTCTTCCTTCTCCAGCCTCGGATGTTGGCTGCGCATCAAGCTATGGGTGAGCTCACTCCAAACACTACCTAGAAACTCCCCCAGCCAGATGCAGTGATGACAGGAGATTTGTTTCCCTCATTTAAGTGGAGGGGAGGAAGGGAAGAGTGCCATTGATACCTGGAGATGAACATGTGGCTAAAACGGAGGCGTGTACATCAGCTGGACGGCTGGGATATTCCCAGGGAGTCACATCCTCGCCGGCAGTGTTATTTTTAGCTTCAGACAAAGAGAGCTGTCCCTCGGGACAGCTTCACTGCTGCAGGAATCCCTCAGCCCCTGAGCTGCAACAGGGCAGGGGCTGCCCTCACCTTCTCACCCAGCCGGGAGGTCGTGGGGACACACAGGGAGCTGGGCCACCACCACACACTGTGGGCAGCAAAAGCCCTCAGGAATACTGACTCCTCTCTGGGTGAGGGAAAGTGTGTATTGGGCTGAATCTGCAATGGCAAAAGTGACACTGCTGAAAAGCCAGTCCTGTGCACTGTTTTTGAAAGCTTTCCAAGGCTGCTATGCACCTCAAGGTAACAACAGCTTAAGAGGATTATGCCGTTAAAAATGGTAATCAACAATTTTAAAAAGCCATGTTAATTAAGAAAAGAGAATACGGAGCTCAGTGTCAGCTGCATTCTCAGTGATAAAATACCATTTTTCTGGACAGTCACCATTTGGACACCTATTCAAATGGGAAGTGCAGTATTGAGGAGCGATGACAGTGTTTTATTATAAACAAAATAAACCTCCCCAGTTCCTCAAATTTCTTCTGTTTTTTTGGGGATATTTGTTTTTTCATGCTACTGGAAGGCAATCTGGCTTTCTGATGACATTATGTCTAAGCCAGGTTGATGTCAAATAAAAGTCACTGTTGTTGCATGACATTTTACATAAGCACAAGGAAATCATTGTGAGTCCCAGATGAATTCTGGGTGAAATTATGTTCTTTCTGTTTTCAGATATGTGAAATTTTTCAGATATGTGATTTAAAATAAAATCATTGTCTTTTCTCCTGATATTAAAAAACCTAACAATCTAATGCAAATTTGTAGCTGATAAAATTATATTTGCTGCCTTCTGAGTTACCATAATTACATTTACCCAATTATCCTGAAGCCTTCATTCAGTCATTAGGTGTTGATTTGTTTATGAAGTCAGCAACTGACAGCTGCTTGTATCTCATTAAGGCCTGTTCATATGTAAATGCCTCCCATAAAACTGAAATTAATTTTCATCAGTATTAAAAATGTTCAGTTCAAGTACAATACAATTTCAGTGAGCAGGTGCGTACATTTCATTTCTCCAACACAACTCTCTGTTGCAGCACATTTCCTAACACCCCAAATCTCGGATAACACAGGGACCATGTAAACTCATGCTTGCCAGATGCAGAACATCTACAGATGTGCAGAAATACCAGCACGGCCAGAAAAATTTACAAGAGCAATAGGTGCTGTTATGAACAATTTTCCAGCTGCATGTGCACAGTAATGCAGCCTGATGCTACCTGTGCACTCGTGTTGCAAGCCTTCAGCAAGGAGCTGTGCGTGAAGGGATAAAACCTGCAGCAGTCCTAGCGGGGTGTGTGAGAGCATGCTGAGACTACCAAGGGCCGGAGCAAGGCTAGTGAGACCTCAAGCCCTGCTCCTGAATCCTCAATTAGGTGGTTTGTTTCCCTGAGCAGTAAGCACAGGGTGGGCTGCATATTTGGCAGCCATTTTCTTGTGAGGCTGGGCCAGAAGGAAGGTCTCCAGAGCCCTCTTCTCCTTACCCTAGTTTTGGGAAGGCAGAAGACCTTCTCACCCTCTGCACTGTTCTTCCTGGCCACGACTGAATTTTTACCTGTAGGTGTTTGTTGCAGTGGAGTGTGGGTGGGGAAGGGAGAAGGAGGGAGGGTGCCTCGAGGAAAAGGCCTACAGAGCATATTCACCATCAGGGCCTTGGGGCGATGCCCTCTGCGCAGCTGGGGTGGTGGAGCAACTCTGCACGTCACATATTCACTAGCAACCCCTAGGTAAAGGCAGAAACCTACCCTTGGTTACTAAGCATGCTTTAAAAATGCCAAAAATTTCCCTTCACAATCTTAACCCAAAGGAGTGACTGAGCCACCAGTCTAGTCCTTGTTGGTGGAAAGCATGGTAAGAGGGAAGGTGGCCGAGTTGTGTCTGGTGTGTTGGATTGCTTTTGGCGGGGAACGTGCAGCCATCCTTCCTATCCACCCCACGCTGTAGCACAACACAGTCATACTGAAAATGTGTTCATGAAGCACAAAGTAATGTTCAGTGGTAATTTGTACCTTAATTACAAACAAAACTCTGCTGATAGACAGGAATTCCTTCAGATACAAGATAGACTGTGAAATATTTATGATTTGTGCTCAGCATAAAAAAGGAACCTGGCTAATTTCTCCCCACAGTCTCCTAAATTAAAATGGAATTATTTGCTTCTGTCACCTCATATGCTGAGGAAAATTATTATATCCTAAAGAAAAAAGGCCCACAACATTGGTATAAACATAAATTATACAGTGTATAGTAATACCTTTAAGTACAGTATATATCTTATAAATGATTTTTTAAAAAAACAGCCTACTTTGGAGTATATCCAGCAAAATTACACACTTTTAAAACTCCTAAGTGCCTATATGAGCCACAGATTTTACAGCTGGTGGCACATAACAGCGTGTAAGATTTAGTACATTATAATCTAACTACAAAGCAGTTATTCATAGACTTGTGCCATTTGGCATTATCTGACCCGATTCACTTTACAGATTCAATATTTGCCCCTGATATTTTGCCTGAAAATATGAAAATCTGAGTATTGTTTGTACAGTAAAAATGGACAGTATGCTGAAAGGAGGTGTCATCATGGGGTGGTTGATAGAAATAGGTCATGTTGAGGCCAAAGAGAGTGCAAAAAAATGATGAAGGACAGGGAAATAAAATAATAAGTTAATCTGAGCAAGCTCTCATTGCAATTGCTGTGATGGATTCAGGTCAAACATAAGCAAAGTGTAACTCTAATTAGAGTAATTTCATTCTCAGATGAAGGAAGCCCTGAAGATTATTGAGATTTATGACTCCTTTTTATTTGTATGTTATAATAAAGCTTTTAAAATAAATAATGGAAGAAATAATCTAGTTAAATAAATAAAAATGTTAGGGCAGGCAAAACAAGTTTGGTTACAGTAAGTTGAATAGGGTAGGGCTCTCTGATAATTTTTATTGCTGATTTTTGCAGAAGCGAATGCTATTTTTGAAGACATGCTATAAAAAGAAACAAGAGGTAAAAAATTCCCAGAAATGAATCATTCGTTATTGTTTATACAAGGCTTTGGTCTGTAGATGTAAACAATAAGGAGTGTGCAAAATAAAAATTAATAATCAAAATAAAGCCTTCCTCCAGTGGGCCATTTATAGACAAGCACCACTATGTTTGAAAGGGTTTGAACTTTATTGGAAGAGTCATAGTATGTATTAAAAACAATCCTAAACAATAGATTCTGGTGACTTCAACAACATTTAACTCTAATTACGTGAGGAAGGCATTTTATGTTAAATACATGCAACTGGGTCAGCCCTGGTACCCTAGCACCCCACCCACCGGCTTGAGTATGATCTACAGAGGACTTGATATTTGTTATAGTAATATCAACGTAGATGAACTATCTGCAGCCAAAAAAAAAATAAAATAAAAAAATGCTTACCAAGTCTTCTGCGGTAAAAGGACAGTGATTCTCCTCCACTGAGTAAATTCACTGGAGTGGTAAATACTTGCTGATGTAAACTCCTGACAGCTTGGCATACTTGGAAGACATTCCTTGGAGTAAGACATTTCAAAATCAGATTTAATGTTGAAGAAGAATTAGGAACAGAACTGAAGGTTAAACATTCATGGAGCCAGGAGCTTGCCTGGGTCGGGATGTTGCAGCAAAAGACCCAGAGGCAGAAAAATCCTTGCATGATCCAGAGAAATTTCTTGAAAAACTAACAGTAGTACAATTAAGGATAGGACAAAACTGCATGCCTCATTTAAGGAGGTAGGTTTAGTATTAGTGACCAGTAATGTTTTGATTTCCTCCATGAGAAGGTCTAGCTCATTTTTTCATACTATCGTCATCCCAGCATCTAATGCTGACTATGGAGTAAGTCTACAAGTCCACCATAGAATAAGTCTACAAAAGTTGACCTCCAGACCATTATACAAGTAATTTCAGAGACCTGCTTGGGAGGTACTGCCTGCTGGGTCCCCTCACTCCATCCATCTGCAGTGGGGAGCAGCAGTAGGAATCACCAGAGCCAAGCAAGAGCACCCAACTGTGGTCTACTGAGGTTGCCCCCAGAGGCCCTTACCATGCTCTGCAGAGGCATTACCTTTGACACTTACAGAATCACAGAATCACAGAACGTT